GTTTTTCTTTCCTAACATAGATGCTTCCTTCCTCTCAAACTACCTGTCTTCTTTGTCCAAAATGTGAACATTCTGGTCCTCCAAAGAATGTCCTTTGTCCATCAGGTGTAGATGTAGTGCAGAGTCTTGTCCAGAGGAGGGCGCTCTTCTGTGTTGGGCCATGCGTCTGTGGAGAGGTTGTTTGGTTTCTCCAGTATAAAGATGATATATATATTATCTTTAGGATGCCATCCTAAAGATAAAACCTCCAGACCTAATCTGAGCAGAGTGTCTGCAGGTCAATGCAGGGAGGAATGATCTGATCTTTATACTGGAGAAACCAAACAACCTCTCCACAGACGCATGGCCCAACACAGGAGAGCGCCCTCCTCTGGACAAGACTCTGCACTACATCTACACCTGATGGACAAAGGACATTCTTTGGAGGACCAGAATGTTCACATTTTGGACAAAGAAGACAGGCGGTTTGAGAGGAAGGAAGCATCTATGTTAGGAAAGAAAAAACCTTAGACAGAAGGGGGGGGGGGATCAGATTCCAGCTTCCAAAAACTTACAATTCAGTTATAGAGATAATCCCTTCCAGATATCCCCACCCCATCATAGAGGAACGAAGCACCTTCCCGCTCCAGCCTGTGAACAATACCTCCTTAACGACCGACCCTCAGAATCATAGGCAGGTTTCAGGTATTACAGGCTAACGATGGAACCAAACGACCCATTCATCGGTTACCGTTAGCATGTTTCCAAGCGATACAAAGCTTTGTCTATAAAGACTCAAACTCAGTGTGGTTCCAGACATTTGAATTGAGAAAGCTTCTTGGAGAGGTGGAGAAACGTCTTCAAATCTCGGAAACCAAGTCCAGTGGATATTTTTTAAACTTTTACAGAATCAAGGCTCAATAGTGCAAATTATTAGTGGGGGCCGTCCCCACCAATCCTCAGGAAGTTACGCCTATTATTTACAGCTAATATGGGATCCAGCTACTGTTCCTTTAATATTTTGTTGACATGGATTCAATTTAAGACATTTTTTATTCTTTTTCACAGACTTTATTCAAGTTCTGCAAAAGTCTATTCACTAAACAATAAAATAAAATCTGCACAATCAAAGGAGCTGGATTTTTACCAACAGGCAAAAACAGAAGAAAAGACATCAGAGCAGCTTCTGATATAAACATCCAACTTCTCGGCCTCTGGTTCATTTTCAGGAAGGAATCTCCTCCTACGAGTTCAATAAACCATCTTTGGTGACAGATGTTTTTCAGGGTGTGTCTCATTCTTGTTGAAGTTTGAAATATGCAAACGAGCTTCACTGAAACCTGGCTGCAGAAACGCCTTTCAGCAAAGCGGCTCCTTTATGGTGGAATCATGAACCAATAAGAACTCTGATGTTCGTTTCTGTTTCACTCCTCCGCTTACGCTATCAGATCAAAGTCATCCCTCTGCAAAAAAAGAACAAAGGTTGGTGTCAGCCATGTTAGTTAATGAGGTGTTAGCAGCCGCTCAGAGCGCGGTGACTCACCTCGTCATTATAGTTCAGGACGTGTTGCTTGATCTTTGAGGAATCCACCCAGGTGACAAAATCCTCCATATTTCTGAAAAATAAAAGGTTAAAGTCCCAAATGATCAATTTTAGACAATTTTGTACATTTGCTCTAAGCTTCCTTTTCTTATATAAGAGGGGGGATTTACCATCAGGGAATACTAGGCAGGTGCTTAGGGCCCCAAGTTCCTGGAGGCCCCATAAATCTCTGTTTCCATGTATTGTTAATACAACTATTCCTTATTTGTGCACATTAATGATGTTTTTAATAAAAATCCTTT